AGTGCTACTATTGCTTCTACTACTACTTTTAATACTACTACTGCTACTACTACTTCTACTGCTGCTGCTGCTGCTAATACTATTGCTACTGCGTCTACTACTACTACTACTTCTAATACTACTATTGCTACTACTACTATTACTTCTACTAGTGCTACTGCTAGTACTACAGCTACTGCTTCTACTGCTACTACTACTACTACTACTTGTAGTACTTCTAATACTACTACTGCTACTACTACTACTATTACTACTGCTATTGCAACTGCTACTACTACTACTACTACTACTACTACTACTACTACTACTACTACTATTGCAACTGCTACTGCCACTGTGGAACATTCCAGGTAGAGCAATGATGTATCCATAGAAACAAGCAGATGACAGACCCTCCATCAGAAAGGCTGCACACAATGCACCTTTAGCATTTAAGACAGGACTGAACTATGAACTGCAAAACTAAACAGAAATTGTAAATTGTCACATATGTTTATAGAGGAAGCTCTCACATGCACATTCATACTCCAGTATACACAGACAATGGACGGAAGGTGGGTTAAGTGTCTTGCCCAAGGACACAACACTGACATTCATCTGTGTCAGCTGGAATCGCACCACCTGCTTTGGAGCCACTGCTAAGAATCCCACATGGTACACTTTATTAAGACTTTTAAAATGTTGTGATTTGCACAGAAAATTATGCCCCTAAATATTTTTTCTTGATTAATTTTCAAATCGCAAACATTCCAACCACATTTTTTATTTCACAGTGGTTGTGAAAGTGCAAATATTAGCACAAATTTGTACAGAAATATAAAAAATTCTGGATAAAAAAGGAACAAAACGCGTAATCAGTGGCCCTGGGATCCCTCTGTTGTGGTTGGAGCTGGAGAGGCCCCTGAGAAGCCCTGAGGACCGCACTCTGATGAGGCCTGATTACAGACAGGTTACATCACCAGGAGCTAATGAAGGCCCCCGCACCAGTCCTGCCAGGTTCACCGCAATTGAATCGAAATTTGTGCGGACGCAATTAGAAAAGACTGTAATTTTTTGAAGTACCATAGTTTTCTCCACAAACAACAAAATCTCCTGTTTTATTCTGTTCTGAAACGTGATTCTTGTAGATTCAGACTTTTTGCCTTTTCTTCTGGACGTGTTTCAGATATTTTCAAATGTGAACTTTGAACTGAATCATATTTTTATTACATGAATCACAAATCAAGCTTCTGAACTGTCTGCCAACACTGAGAACCAGACCAGAGGAGGTGAAGTGATCAAAAATGTGTTTTTTGTATTAGCAGTACAGTTAAAAAATATATGCAAGCACACAGAGACCAAGTACTGATGTAGAAATAACATCTGATGTATATTGAAATACTGAGGTAATAATGAAACAGAATGTCAAAATGTCAAGATACATGTTTTCTGTTGTTTGTGATATATTGGAAAAAGAGCTAAAACATTAAATCTATGAATTTTTACTTGAAATAAAATAGCAGGAATAAAGAGAATATTGCAGTTAGCTCTACTCTTAGAACACACTACTCCTTGTAACATTAATGTGGTACATTCTGTGTAGTACTCTCCCCTCACAGAAAAAAGGTCCCTTATTCAACACTGGGGCTTCTGGGGCTTCTCTGTTTTCTGTAGATATGTGCACATCACTGGCACACTACTACAGTGACAGAAACTAGGGCAAAGCTGGCACACCTATACTTCAAAAATGCATTTAATAAATTGACAATGTTTGGATCAATGACTTTTCTTCAGCTCTACTCAGGTTTCCCTCCTTAATCTAAAACCTACTCAGAAAACTTCCCCTTCAGCTAAGCTAGAAAGATCTAGGCTCCATCTCTGGGGATGGGGCTCGGGGCCCTGCCCTGTGCTCCTCTAATGCTCCTGACAGGCTGCCCTGAGGCTCTGATGAATACGTTCTGTGCAAAGAGAAATTTCCCCTGCAGGAACATTAAAGTATACACAGAAAGCATACACAATAGGGATGTACTGAACCAAAGTTTTTTTGCTCTATTCCTCATGGTGATATAAGATCTTAGCCAGGCTGGCGCCACCTAGTGCCTCTTCTCATCAATTTCATTTTTCTCCAGCGACTAGGTCAGGAAATACACTAGAAGGTTTGCAAGATTTGGGATTTGGGAAAAGCTTAATATACCAGTTAGTCCCGTTGGTGGACTAACTGGTATATTAATACATCATAACCAAATAGCAGCGATTGGTTAAATGAAAAAAGTACCCAAGCCTACCGTTGAGCGAACAAATCCTAATGCTGCGAGGTCACACCGGTTTCAGTTCGTTGAAACCGGCTGATGAATCAGGCTAATAGGGACAATAGCATTTATTTCATTTAAACACAATCATGAAGGAAAAAAAATATCCAAATGTGTTATGTAACTGCAGAACAGCTTTGTAAAAAACAAGTGTAAAATATTGAGACATTTTGGACTAACACTGGCCAGTAGATCTTCTTATTACACCAGCATTTTTAATATCAGTGCAGATATCCCATACCAGTATCGTATCAGTGCATCCCTAATACACAACAGAGTTTATTGTTATAAATGATGTTTGCTTTTGGTGAACTTTTAGTTACTGAGCCCAAACAGATAGCACGCATTACTGCTGACTTGCATTGGTCTGAATTGTACGTGGAGAAATGGAACCCCCAATATATATATATTTTTTTTGGCAGTTGTTTTTATTATTTATTATTGTGCTATTACGGCGCTGCAAGATTCATTGCAAACAAATCGCATCGGCTGCAACTTTTGAAGCACCATCATTTCCTCCACCAACAATTAAATATCCTGCCTCATTCTGCTTCAAATCTGCTATCGTAGTTCACATCTATACAGTCTTGAGCTGAAATGTGATTCTTATATTCGTTTGTTAGTTCAGACTTCACTCTTTTGGTCAAATAAACTATGAACTTTGAACAGAATCCTAAAACATAAATCTGAAATCACAATTGCAATTGTCAGAAAAATCTCAAATGGACACTTTTCCCAAATCTAGATTCTTATCATGTTGTAGATGTAGTCGGTTCAAAGTCACAGTGTTAATTGAGTGAAAGCAGCTGCCTCTTCCTTTCAGCCCGTGATCTGCAGTGGGTCATGTACTGTACATCGATCCTCTGCTCGTCCTAATACAATGCCCCTAAGACCTTCTGTGATCGATGGAGGCTAAATACAACTGATTTATCTTCCATTAGGGCGCTGTACTTTTGTGTTCTGTTTCTCTCGCTCTTGCCTGGGATTTGTTATGATGGTACATGAGGCAGTAGCAGTAGGGAGTAGTAGCAGAGGGAGAGTGCAGTACATTGCCCATGTCTCTATATAGGCTAATGTTGTACCTAATGGCATGTCACTTAGCAACACCTGCACAGCAGAGTTGGCCCACTTTTAATCATTGATCAAATCATGTGGCAAGTGCAACAAACGGAAGCTTTCATTAGTCTGTTATTACGAAGTGGCTCAATTTAATGTCATTTGGATAAAATTACCAGTTACACCCGCAAGCGACAATTAAGGGCTGTGATTATGTACTTGAAATGTGTGACCACACCGATTCATTAAGAAATAGGATTAGGTGGACTGTTAAGCTTTTTAATATTTTACTTTGATTTAGACAATTATTTTAAAATAACCTCATAAAAAATTTATTTTTCTTTTTTTTTTTTATGACAGCAAAAGGGTCTATACACTTTTTTTTCCATATACAGTCATCCCTTCTTTCATTGATAGATCATTTTACTCGTCAAGTTGAATGTACTTAAAGTAAGTAAAATGTTCTTAGTTTTAAGTCACTTTCACCTACTTAGATATTATCTGAAGTGTATGGGTGATGTCTAGGAGTGTGCAAAAATATCAATATATCATATCGTTTAATGTGATGATACAAAATCGATATCGTGGGCTGCTGTATAGATATATTGCCAAGAGTATTTTTGGTATATTTTACTAAATTATTTAATTACTGTGCTACAGTTATTTGGAAACCCGTTTATGCAGCACATTTGACATTTTCACTGATTTGATGAGTAAAATGGGCGTTTTTCATATTCACTTTGCACAAAAAGTGGTTTGACAAAGACGTTTATTATCACAGCCATGATCAGCCTTTAGTTTTTATTGAATCTTATCGAATCGTTTTAAAATACACTACTGGTCAAAAGTTTTATAACACCATAATTTTCCAGGTATTTATTGCAATTCAAGTCGTGCAAGTCCAATGAAGAGCTTGAAATGGTGCAAAGGTAAAAACTGAACAGACAGAGGTTAAGAAAATGAGAAAAGATACAAAGCACAAGTCCAAAACTACCTCAGGAAAAAAGATCAAGATGGTAAAGCTTGAAAACATTGAGCACAGTGTCCAGACTTAAACTCCATCGAGCTGGTTTGGGATAAACCGGACAGAAGAGTGAAGCAACCTACAAGTGCCACACATTTATGGGAACTTCTTGCAACAGACTTGGGAAGAACTTTCTGAAGAATATTTGTTTTCTATTGTAAAAAGAACAAGCCACGAGTGTGTTCACATATTATATCTGCCAAAGGTGGACACTTTCATCAATCAAAAGTTTAGAATACATTTTGGTAAACAATAAACAGTAAACAGTAAAAAAATTTGAAAAAGTGTGGTGTTTGAAAACTTTTTACTTGTGTGTATTGTATCGAAATCAAAAGTGTACAGTATCGAGATATGAATCGTATCGTGATCTATGTATCGAGGTATGTATCATATCGGCAACTTCTTAATGACACCCAGCCTTAGTGACGTCACTCTGGAAATCACTGTGAACAATTTCAGAATGAACTTGTTGTTTTTTTCCACAGTAAAACACAGGTACAGCAGCTTTAGTATCACCTCATATTGGAAGTTACAGCAAAATACAAGAGACAGTGGTCCATTTTGTACTTGTAGGTCTCTTTATATGTAACTGTAAGTAATGCAAACGTTCCTTCTTTGCTTCTTGATTTCAGGCATCGTATCATTGATTTCTCTGGCGGTCCTGTCGTATGAACGCTACTGCACCATGATGAAGCCCACCATGGCGGACGGCAGGGACTACCGCGCCGTGCTGGGGGGGATCTGCTTCTCCTGGGTCTACTCGCTGGTGTGGACGGTGCCCCCCCTGCTGGGCTGGAGCAGGTACGGGCCTGAGGGACCCGGGACAACCTGCTCAGTGGACTGGAAGACTCAGACGGCCAACAATATCTCGTACATAGTGTGTCTGTTCATCTTCTGCCTCCTGCTGCCCTTCAGTGTTATCTTGTACTCGTACAGCAAGCTGCTCCAGGCCATCAGGCAGGTAAGAGCTAGAGTCAAGGATTCTACAACCTTTTCAAGTGGGAGTGAACACATAAACTGCACCCACAATCACACTGCAAATAGAGCTGCTCAAATAGAAACTGCAATAACTACTAGAGACAGCACACGCACTGTTTTTGACTTTATTTTGTCTGTGTATAATTTATTGTTCTTTTCTTCAAGTGTTTAACATGTCAGGATGATAATTTGCTTTAACTTTTTTTGACTGTTTTTGAACACAAATCTGCACACATTTTGAAGTGCCAAAATGGACTAGGGACAGTAGCCAGTGCTACTAAAACACCATATACAGTTTAGTAGCAAAGAACGAAAACAGGCGTGTTGTTTTCGAGACATTTCCTCTAATTTTGAGACATACAATCATGGCTGTGGTTGGACCGTCCCGTGTTAGGATAGAGGTTTTTCATGCTCTATGGTCCTGTTCCAGTCCCTTCTAGATTCCTACAGGATGTACAAGGGACTGGCTGGTCAGTGGTCAGGCAAGGTTCCCTCATCCTTATTTTACTCAAAGTTTACAGATTGATTCATGCATGTTTGCGTAAGTAAGTTTTTATTTATATAGCGCTTTTCACAGACATATGTCACAAAGATGCTTTACAGAGCATTATTCATTCACTCCACACCCGGAGAAGGTAAGCTACGAATGTTGCCATAGCTGTCCTGGGGCAGACTGATGGAAGCATGGCTGCCAATCTGCGCAATCTGCCACTCCGACCACCACCATCACTCATGCACACACCACTTTCATACTAGGCAATGCAGGTGAAGTATCTTGCCTAAGGACACAAGAGCAGTTTTTGTGTCTGGCACCCCCCTCTGGCACCTATTTTCCCAGTGGTTTCATCCCGTCCAAGTACTAACCAGGGCCGGCCTTAACTTCTGAGATGTGACGAGATCAGGCTTTGACAAGATGGTAGGGCCACTAATCCAGTGTTGTCCTGCATTCAGAGTTTGAGTGGTCACCTACCCCCTATCCCAGCCCACTTCTCTGTATTAAAGTGTAATTATTCATAAGATTGAGGCTCTGTCGTACATGTAGGGATGCCATGATTTAAATAAGATTCAAATCTGCTGCTTGTTACAGTAGATTGCCACTATAAAGAGGTGGGAAATCTGTTGACCTATTTCTATTCTAAAAGCTTTTTAGATCAAAGTTGCAGTTTACAATGAACAGATGTAATGTAATACTAATCTATGTATGTTAGAGTTTAACACTGAACAGATGACAAAAAAGAAAAATTTCTCTGGAATTGTACTCATTACCTTCATACAAAACATAGACCATATAAAGAAGTGGATTAAGGGAGTGTGACTTTGCCCATTACATTTGGCTCCAGTCAAATGAAACTCACCGAAGCTGGCAGTTATAGGAGCAAATTTGGAACCGAGTTCCATTATAGGAATTTATCTATGTACAAAATAGAGAAATAAAAATACTAGAATCATGGAGAGGGTTAATAGGAATATTTTAAGACCAAAATGATGAGCATCAGTTACAGAAAGAGGGGTAACAATTTTGCAATGTAAAGTCAATTGGAGCCAAAGTCAGTGGAGTCAGAACCGTGGTCATGGTCACTTATTATTTGGAATGTGGCGACTAGAAGATTATCTATGTCCACTTAGATATACAGTGTATGGTACAGAATACATTTTTAACGAATATGCCCTCTGCTTTCTGTGTATGTATGCATAAACACTGTGAATTAATGTGTGAAAATATTTTACTTTAAGATTAAAAACAAGTTTGAAGTTTTCAGAAAGTAAACTCAAAGGTGCACTGTTACCTTTCTAGTGGGTGGTCTGCCATCTGCTCACCTCATGCAGATGCTTTGCCTGAAACATTCCACAGAATGGCACTGTCAATCTTACTTTTATACAATCATGATGTTTTTATTGCAAAACCTTGAAAAACACGAATTCTTTCTGCGAGTTGAGGTCACCTCCATGGAGATTTCAACTGTAACTTGGTCTGATAAGATAAGAGATAGAACACTAATGCGTTTAATGCCACACTGTGAAACATTCCAGGCAAGGCAGAAGAGTATACAGGTACTATGGTTCACCAGGAAAGTTCAATGATGGAAGAAGTACTCAATTGTATTACTTAAAAGTACAGATACTAGAGAAAAAAATGGGTAAATATTCAAGTAAAAGTAAAACTATCATGAAATAATCTACTCAAGGTAAAGTGGTAAAGTACTGGTTTAAAAATGTGTTTAAAGAGTTTTTTTTTTTTTTTTTACAGATTTTGATTTTAATAAAGCTTCAATTGTAGTATTTTGAGTGTTGAATTTTATTGTGGAATTTATAGCTTTTTCCCCCAGCAATTTTATTTGTGTAATTTTGTTTGCTCAGATTACAAATGTGTTGAAATTAAACCCTCAGACATTTCAGCAGGTCTCAAACAATAACAAAAAGTACTTTTACTTTTCAATACAGTTAAAAAATGTAGTGTAGTAAAAAGTACAAATACCTGCCCTCAAATGTAGTGAAGTAAAAGTAAAAACCTTAAATGTGCATTGTGGCATTTTTCTTGTTTAGGGTCTGTCAAACGCTCATCTCCATGGAGATGTTATTGCTTTCTCTGGAATGTTTCACAGTATGGCATTAAACCTTTCTATCATCATGGAGACCGAACCACACCAAGTTAGAGGTCAGATCTGTGGAGCGGCAACCCCATTCACAGTGTTAGTCAAAGTATTTTTGAGTTATAAACCCACCTGCAATTGAATAAATGTAAAGTAGAGCTGTTTAATGTCACACTGTGGAACAATTCCAGACAGAGCAACGACATATCCATAGAAACAAAAAGTTGATGGACTCCCAACCAAAAAATGACATAGTACACTTTTAAGTACAATACTTTACAATACTTTACTACTTTTACTCTATTACAGTCCACCATTGAAAAAAGTTACATAGTGTACTAATCTGCCCCAAAGTACTTCTTGGAAAACTTCACAATATGTCCTTTGAACATATTAATCCAAATTTGGACCTGCTTTTTCTACTGTTTTGAGTAGAAAGCTATTTTATTTTCACAGTCCACATCTAAAAGTGGAATATTCATTAACTATACGTTTTCACACACACATTTGCTTTAAGACTGGGGTTACCTATAGATTACAACCTCGTCTTATCTTTGAAGGCACGTTACGCTGACCCCTGGTTCACACCTTATTTGCCTTTTGCCTGCGCTCGGGTATATGACTCCCAGATGGACGAGTCTGTGGCCAATAATAATGTTATAATATGGCCGATTGAGGGCTTTGAAGCAGCTCATCTTATCTGATCTAAAGTGATTTCTCGTGCACTTTAAGCTTCCAGACGCTCAGCTTAGTTCAGTCAATATATTCACAGGCCAACTATGGATGTGAGCATAACAGAATATAGTAGCTGATGTTTACGGGCCTATACTCATATATTCATGCTATTTTCAGATCTGTGTTATAATGTTTCTTCGTCACAAACAGACCTGGAGTTGTGTTTTGTTTCATTCACACACACACCCTGCATGTTTAGGCATGTTACGCTCTTCTCTCAAACAAAAAAAAACAACACTTTGTTCCTTGTGATGTCATGTGATAATACAGGAAGTGCTCCACTGTGTTTTTAAACTCCTTCACTAAAATCATTTGGATCATTTCAGCCCTGGAATTGCCAATTTCTACTTAAAGGGACAGTCCAGAATTTTGGACATAGGACCTCATTTATATTCCATCCAGTCCTTGTATTTGCAGAGGTCGCTGGTGCTAGGCTAGTGCATGTCAATGGCCACAGTTAGCCTGCCACTAAAAATAGTCTTACCCACTCCACAAAACACCCAAAGCAAATCTATTATTACACCAGACTGTTGATGTGAATGTCTGTGTCGATAGAATTATGTTTGAACTAAAACTAACCTCTCATCGCATGAATTGTCGCATGTTGAGGGACTATTTTCTTATATATCAGTCCGCCGCTGCCAAGCTTTCTATCAGGAAGTACACCTCACTGTGCTGTTCACACATAAATCCTTCAAATACAAGGTTGGTTTTACTTCTAAAATTATTCTGTCAACACTGACATTTACATCAACAGTCTGGTGTAATAATAGATTTGCTTCTGGTGTTTTGTGGAGTGGGTAAGACAGGCTAACTATGGCCATTGACATGCACTAGCCTAGCACCAGTGACCTCTGCAAATACAAGGACTGGATGAAATTTTTTAAAAAGTGTCTCCACATGTCTCCAACACTCTGGATAACTTTAGGAAATGAGGTCCTATGTCCAAAATTCCGGATTGTCCCTTTAACTAAAGGTAAAAGGTAGCTGCTAATGTGAAAACTACTGCTTCGTAACATTACAATGTTGAACAGAGCATTTTGAGCTTTGAAGATGTAGACAGACTAATAATAAAGTTACTCAAACATGTGTGAATGAAACAAAAGACAACTCCAGGTATGTTTTGCGGATGTAACAACATTATAACATGGCTAAAAGCTCACAATATAGCCAACTTTGCCTAATATAGGATCTTTAATATATGGTGAGTCTGCAAGATTCATAGAAATTGAATTTTTAAATGAACACAATTTGAAAATGGCAAAGGCTGCAGTTTAAGTACTATCATTTCCTCCACAAGCAACTAAATATCCTGTATTATTCTGCAGAAAATGTGCTCACCCCACAGATTTAATTTAAAAGTGCATTGTGTAACTTTTTCGGTGGGGAGTCTGTCATCTTCTTGTTTCTATGTATATTGTTCTGCCTGGAATATTCCACAGTATGATATTAAACAGCTCTACCTTACTTTTATTCAATTACACGTGGTTTTATAGCTCAAAAACAGGCATTCTGACAGTGAGTAGGGTGGCTCTCCACAGATCTGACCTGTGACTTGGTCTGGCTTGATCTCCATGAAGATAGAAAGGTTTAACATCATACTGTGAAACATTCCAGACAAAGCAATAACATCTCTACAGAGAAAAGCATTTGACGG